ATTGCTGTTAATATCAATAATCAACAAATGATTATTTATTAGTTCGAATTCGAGATTTGCAAGATAGGTTGCTTAAGATTTTCGAAAAATATAAATTGAAATATTGATTTTATTTTAAATGTTTCTTGCATATTTGTCTCTTTTTTATGATGTTAATTTAAATGATTCCGTAAGTAAATTATTATTGAATGATTTTTACGAAATAGAACCAAATATCATTCATTTAGCATCGAAATTTTTTTCTCCTAAAAAAAGGAATCTAATGCCTTACGTAAACATAGCTCACACCAGTCCCTCTCCACTAAAAATAAGCAAATTACAGCTACCCATCCCTCATAGATGCATAGGTAACGTAATTAATATCCCCTAACATACAATTGCATATTATCTTTATTAATTTAAGACTCGGCAAAATTTGGATTTTTCTTAAATTTCAAACCTATTGCATGTGTTATAAGCTTATTAAAATTAGTTTTAATTTAAAAAAAAAGTGTTCAAGCAAAGAAATAATAAAATAAGAAAAAATAATAAGAAATATAAGAAATAATAAGAAAAAATAAAATAAAAATAATAATAATAAATTGCACTTCCCAATTAATCTGAGTTTTTTTTCTTCTTTTTTTCTCTCCTTTCAGATTATTAAATCTTTGATCGCTGGCCTCTTTTCATTTCTTTTTGAGAGCCATTGATCTTGAGTCCTGCCAATTTTGCGATTGCCAATTTTGCGATTTCACAGTAAATGAAGCTTTCAAATATGATAAATTAAAAATTACTTTCGGAGCCAAAATAAATGAGCAGCTAATAAAAATTTTAAAAAATAATATTAATTATAAAAATAACAGGAATAAAATGAGTTTATTTTGCGCAATTTTTTTTTTTTTAAATTTATTGCACTGAATAGACGTATGGTCGAATTTACATATATGAGAAGAAAACGATATTTCGAAACACATGATATTGTTTTCTTTTTAAAACAATTTAAAAGTATGTTACTAATTAGAATCAGAATTAAATTTTTAATTATTTCAAACTGAATCGGGCAATACTTTCTTGGAATTGTGCTATATCTGAACGTTGCAGAAAATTAATACTGTCTTATTTATGTAAAAATAAAACGATATTTTTGGAATCAACTAATTATATTCCTTTTAAAACAGGTAACAGATAAATAAGTATCCTGTTAATTAAATCAGAGAATATTTTTTTGATGACACGCTGCATCGAAGCATAGCAGCGAATATTCTTATCTCGTATTTATGTAAACAGAATATATTTATACAATATATATACTGAATTGACAAATAATTCTCTTTTTAAACCAGCCGATGGATGAATAATTATTAATAAGAATCAGAATTGCATTTATTTCAAAATGAATCTGACGAGACGATATTTCTTTGATGATACGCTGCATCAAAGTATATAGCAAAGAATTAACAATGACGCATTTAAAAAAAAAAAAAAAAGATTTTTTTTAAAAACTGGAAGATAAAAATGATAAAAAAGAAAACGATATTTTGAATCGACGAATTATTTTTTTAAATTATTTCTTTAAAAAAAGGAAGATAAAAACGATAAAAAGAAAACGATATTTCGAACCGACGAATTATTTATTAAATTATTTCTTTTCTTTTACAGCTAATAGAAAAATTATTAATTAGAATAAGAATCGAAATTTAAATTATTCCAACTGATTAATATAATATTTTCTTGCTGTCACATTGCATCAGATAAAAAAATATTCTTGACCCGCAAATAAGGAAAATCCTAGAGGATTGTTAATTTTAATTAACAAGACATGCAATGCTCAGAAATGCAAAAGAAGTTTAATTATGATTTTTTATTTGCTAGAGCCGCGGAGCAGTCTGTTCCTTGCTCTCCACCACTTTTTTCGCATTCGCCAAGCTCAACAACTTCCTCTTTTTTGTTATTTTTATCTTTCTTTCCAAGGTCAGCGGCACGGAGCTGTAGTTTCTTCCTGTTCTCTCCGAAAGCGCGGGTGCATCTACTACAGTAAAGCTCTTTTCCAGCACAATGTTATGAATACGTAGGCGCCGCTGGCGAAATATGTCACGATTTAAAATGAATTTCAGATTTTATTTCGGTAAATATTGCAAAGCCAGACAGTAGTGACGAAATAGCATGTTTCTTAATTCCATCTGAGCAGCGTTTTGTTTAATTAAAAAATAGAATTAAAATCATGGAACTTATTCTTTAAGTTTAACGCGTTTAGGGGCTCATTAAATTATAAAAATTCATTTATAATTTAGAAAGTTATTTCATAACAATTGAAATTTTATTGGGAAATATTAATTATTACGTAAAATATTAATACAAAATAATACAAATTATTATTTTGGAAATATTAATACAATATTTGGAAATATAAATAAAATATTAATATAATACATATATATAATATTATATTAATACAATATTATTTACTATATATTAATACAATATTTAGGACAATAAGTTCTAGTTTAAAATATTTTGCGATCGTTCCATAGTCAGTATTGTGAGATAGTTCATTCCATAACTCAGTTTAAACAGTATAGTATTTTAATAAAAATAAAAGGAAACATTAGGGAATAAAATAAAAACCACGAAACATAAGTTTTACAACCACCAACGTGCTGAAAAATTGCTCGAATCTGTAAAAATAAATATTGATAATTTTCATTATAATTAGAAACTAATAATTAAAACTCGTTTAGTGAGATCATATGAAATAATCGTGAATAGGATTTAATTGTTAGATTTATGGGGTACCCAGCGTAAATTCGTAAAATTTGTGCAAATCTAACAAAAAAAAAAAAAAAAAAAAAAAAAAAAAAAAAAAAAAAAAAAAAAAGGAAAGAAAGAAAAGAAAAAAAAAGAATGTGGGTTAGGAGGAAAATTGAAAAAATATGGAAAACTGCAACGATAACACGAATAAAAATAATAAAATCGATTACATTTCGGAAAAAAAAAACACACTAAACTGGTTTTATTTTTTTCGAAAACACCTAGAGTAATAATTTATAATTACACCGTACTGAATTAAACTATATTAATTAGTTATAATTTAATTATTGGTTCAAGTTATTATATTAATAAATAGCAACCATCATGTTTTTTCGATTCCAACTATTAAGAACAGATTTTTATTTACTTTTATTTTAGAGAAACTTACAGAGCAGATTTTCTTATTACTTATTGTTTTAAATTATCAAAATTAGGGAAGATTTTCTTGAAACACGAGGTTCCCATGCAGGAGAAAGGCGGTCAGCCTAGACATGGTAGGTGGAAACATAAAACCAGGCAGAAGATAATATTGTAATCATGTATATCATTTTTAAGGCTTAGATGCTTATTCTAATAATTTAGTTTGTCAGATAATGGGCGTTTCGTAATGACTGCTTTAAATTTATATTTTTAGAATACGTGTTAAAATACGAAAATACTAATGCTTGAAAAATTACGCAAATGTGTGGTTGGAAATTTATTAAGAAAGGGAAAAACAAAAACTTTATCAAAGTATAACCAATCACTTTTGAGAAAAGTGGGTTTGCAAATATTAGAGTTTGATTTCTGGTTAAAAAGCGAAAGTATCTCTAACATAATCATGCACCACCTCTCCGTTTTCTCGGGTGATCAAAAGATTTTTTGTTTTTAATTCTCACTTCCTCGATAGTGAGAATTACTATATTCGTTAGAATTTGATAAGATTTGTTTTTAATTCATGAGCCTTAACGTATATGCTTCTTCAGCTTTAACAAGGATTTTAAAAATACATATTAATTGCTATGATTGCGGAAACACCCTGCGTATTATTTTGATACATATTTGTGTTGTTCAGTAAGAACCCAAAATTAACAATATCAGTCGTATTTCGTGCTTGAATTGAGATGATCTATTATTTAATAAAGGTCTAAAATACCCAAAAAATTTTTTTCGTCCTTGAAAAAAATTAGCTTTAATTGGTTTAGAAAAATAACAACTCATTTTACTGTATTAATTAAGGATCTTACATTTCAAAGAGAAAAAAATTACAAGAAATAAATTGCTACGAAAATATTCCTAAATTGCTAAAAGAAAGAAGTTTGATCAAAATTTTGAAATTAGTATTCAATTTAAAAAGTAGATTACGCCACTTATAATTTTTTTTTGTGATTAATTTTGGGAAATTATTATTCGAAGATACTAATTAAATATAAAACAGATTCCTTCTAATAATACTGAATATTAATTGTTTTGCTACAAATAATGTTATTTAATTTCTTTTCTTCATATCTTTCGAATGTAGTGTTTATTTTATTATCATAACTTTTCATTCCTTTGAAAAAAATATAAGCAAAATAAAAACAAGAAAGGAATTTTTTTGTTGTTTGTTTTAAGGATAATAAATGATATCCCACAAAATACAAACAAAACAATTCTATACAAAGTTGTAAATTAATTTTATTTTGTATTCGCTCCACTAATTTATTTTAGTCAAATTTTCTTTTTCAATTAGAAAAAAAAAATTCTTTAAAAAGAAAACTTAATGCTTTTTAAATTTACTACATAAAAGCAACTTTTAATATATAAAAACAACTATATATTGGAATTATCGACAAGAAAAGGTAAAATAAGAAAATAATTGAGTTCATCTTGCTATTCACTAGCGGAACCGGTTTTTTCCCCCAGACAGACACATCACCTTGCCATTTAATAAAATATAAATAGAATTTTCAAAACTTACAATTTAAATTAAGAGGCTCGGAATCTATTATTTATAGTATCACATTTAATACGATTCTTTAAAAGGAAATGAGAAAACTATCCAGGTGGAACGCTCCTGACAATTAATTTTACAAAATAGGAAAATAAAAAAAAAATTAAAACTCTCTATTCATGGTTTTGAGATTAATCAAGAATTCTGATAAGTGAAGCCTAATGCACACATCAGAATTTGACCTCCTACTATTTAAGATGCATTCACGACTTTTAGTATAATTCGGTCCCTGATTACAAATTGTTGATTTTTTGCATTTATCCTAGTGTAGCTGGGCGGTGTTGTTTGTGCAATGGAAATTCTTTGTGACCCGCCTGAACGTCCACGCCTACTGCATTGGCTGCCCCCGATATTGTACATGTACCTCCCTGAAAATTCCCACGTTCCAATTCAGTAAAAGTAGCTTTAAAAGTTTTTATAAAATGTATCAAGTTTAAAAGCTTTATGAATTAAATTTTTGTAATATTGTATCGGAAAAATAAGGAACAATTATTAAAAACGGATTGAAAATGTGACAGAACTACTTATCTAAGCGGATTCGTTTCCTCCCCGAGGGCAGTGCTACCTGACACGTTTCTCTTTTTGTGTATCATTCCGCGGTTAGTTGTCGACGCCATAACGAGCTCGATGTCTGCCGTTAGGAAATTTCGATTTTCGGATGTTTTAGCGTGAAATGACAAGTGTGGCGTCGCGGAAACAGCAACAAGAATACGTAGTACCCACGAGTAATTCGCAGGTAAGTGAATTTTCGGTGTATTTAGTAACTTTTACCTCGCCATTGCTGGAATTCACTCCTGGCAAGATGGCGATTGCTTTGCCATACCCATTTTCACACCCCTTTATTCTTTTGACCCCGCCTATGTAGGACACTCAGCCGTCCCCGTTGGCGCTCCTGGCCGCGACTTGCAGCAAGATCGGGTCACCAACGCACGAGGGTGTTTCCCAGGGCACTTCCCCGATCAAAGTTTTGGGCCCTAACCACCAAGTAATTCAATCCGGAGCTGAAATTATAGCCACGGCCACCGGAGCCCACATCCTGCCTTTCCAGCCACAAACTGTTGGAGTCCTGAATCCCGACGGTACAGTCACCCAAGTCACGGGTGTCCAGCAGCAGACCACTGCAGCGGCCGCCAATGTCCATGTCTCGGGCAACGTGGCTGCTCTTAAAAGCATACCCACCGTAGCCACAGCACAAAACGTGGCTTCAGTCAATGGTCAAGTCTTCCCCCAGGGAGCGCAGATAGTTACTGGCAGTCCTGGAAACATCACCTACAATGTCATCCCCGCACAACAGATCCAAAACATACAGATCGACGGGCAGGAAGCCATATACATACCTGCTGTCCCACAAACTTTCCAAATCGCTGGTACCAATCAGACTATATTGGCTCCTGGTCAAACCTTTCTACGAGCTCAAGGGCCCACTTCCGTCCAAAATGGTACACAAGCAGTTCTTCAAGGGATGACTGGTACTGCTGTGGCCCAAATCAATGGCCAGAATGTTACAATTCGTCAAGGCAATGTGGTTCAAGCTTTACAACTTCCTATGCCCATACAACAGACCTTTCCCGTACAAGTGCCTATAACCAATGCCAATGGTCAGACTGTATATCAGACTGTTCATATTCCCATGCAAACTGTGCAAGGTGTTCCTGGAGCTAATGTTCTTCAATCTCAAGGCCAGCCCATCACACTTAATGTACCAGCACATATGTTATCTCAGATAGCATCTCAAATGGGTCCTATCGCTCAGGTAAGTCACACATTTCTTTGATCATTCTGATGTTATGTTTTTACTGTATCTTATTAAAATCGTAACATTTCTTGCTATCTGTACTATGAGGTTAGGTGTTTTATTTTCATTATTATTTATAAATGTAGTATTATTTATAAATGTAGGTATTTTATTTTCATTATATATTATAATTCTTAACCATTAAGTACTTCGATTTGTCTTCTAGATAATCTAGTTCTTTACGAAAAAATGCATTTATTCAGCATCTTATCCTCCACTATCGGATTTATTACAATATTTACCCTGTTTCTTATCTGCTACAAGCGAACTAGATAATGTTAATAACTTATTGCGAGCAAAATATTGACTCCTATAATTCCGTCTCATCACTCATCAATATTTTTTAATTCACCCACATTCGTTACCTCGAATCTATGGTTTGTAGTAACTGTTCCCACGAGAAATGAGATCAAGGTTCTACTGTAATATATAATTAAAGTTTTTATTTAAAGAATCCAAAATTATGACTTGCAGGCTTTTTGTTAATATGCTCCTCTTATTCTGTTGCATCTCTGATTTTCTGAAGAGTTAACTGTACCTAATTTTCATTTCTCAAACAAACTAAGAATGCCTGTTGTTAGAAGTAGCAAGCAGTATAAATTGTGTCATTAAAAATTATATTTTCGTTTGGATTGTAAAAGTTCTCAAATTTACACAGTATTGAATGGACCTCATTGTATAAAAATTTGGTACACCCTATATTTTCTTGATGAATACAATTTGTGATACAAAGTCATTTGTTATAAGAGAATAATATTATAATGTAATATTCCTTTAAAAGTTTTTAAATGCATAAGTATATCAAATCAATAATACTGGTAGAGTACAGTGTGATAATGTATTATCTTTCTTAAGTCAAAACTTACTTCAATAACTCTGATAAACAGAATGGTAAAATGAAAAACTTTCTGTGCACACAAAATCTCAATTAAATGAATTTTCTGGAAGATATTGATTAGCTCTTTCTTGTAAGGAGTTTCAACCCCCTCATTTTCGCAAAATTTGTTTGAAAATCAGATTTTTTAAAAAAATGTTTTGCTTTTTATTGAACTTCATATTAATTCACTCCACGGTTGAGTTTGGTAAAAAAGTTAAAAATAGAAATCCAAAAACACTTTTTGAATAATTGAAAAAATACCAGAAATTTGGACAAGGTAAAAGTGTATGTAGGGAGCCTTTATTCGCAGAATGTTGTTAACGTTTTAATAAAAATATTGATGCAGGATTTTATTTATTCATTTAAATTGTGTGAAAATGAATATCAAGGTTTGATTTTTAAGCCAGGCGAATACAAATCTAGGTATTTAATTTTAAGATTATGTGAAATCTTAATGTTTGATTTTAAAATTTCTTAAATATCAATCTCTGGGTTTGATTTTAAAATTGCGTGAATATAAATTCTGATTTATAATTTTTAAGACACTTGAATATGAATTATATAGTGACTTTTAAATTGCGATATTTGTTACAAAATCGCAAAAATACGAAACACGCTGTGGAATCTTAAATCGTGTAAATACGAATCGCGATACATAATTTTAATTCATGAATATGATAATTCATGATAAGGTTTATGAAGCGAATATGAATTCTGATTTATAATTTTTAAGACACTTGAATATAAATTATATAGTGGCTTTTAAATTGCGATATTTAGTACAAAATCGCAAAAATACGAAACACGCAGTGGAATCTTAAATCGTGTAAATATGAATCGCGAACGCGATACATAATTTTAATTCATATCAGTGTAATTTTAAATCGAGTTTGTTCTGGGTTGGAAAAAACATAAACCCAAATCTTATTTTTCTCAAGAATTTGAAAAAGATCAACTGAGAGCTGGAAAAAACAATATCAGTTACATCCAAACAATCCATACAATCATTACCTTAAAAAGTCGATACTCAAATGCACATTTCAAATTTTTCATATTGATTGAAATATATTGGGATAAAACCACATGATTTCAATGATTCAAATTATACAGGTAAATTTCTGTAGGAAAGAAATTTAAATTATTAAAATTTTTTTTTTCAAGCAAAATTAATTACTGAATATCCCCGTGCCAGAATCGCAGGGGCACAGCTACATTGTCGCAGAATGTTAGAGCTCTTGCAGAAAGATTTTTTTTTAAAGTAAAAATTTTTAGTTTTCTTTTCTACTGAAATTTACATGTGGAATTTGAATCATGCATTTAGGTAATAACATTTTGATGCTATCAATTTATGTCATTGTATCGTAAATTGATGTAATGTTTCGATTGCATTTTCGGCAATTATTGATATTGATTTTCTCGTGGTTTTTTAATATCCCAATATATTTCAAACAATATGGGAAATTCAAGTTGTGCATTTGAGTATTTACTCTTCAAGGCAATGATTCTATCAATTTTTGGCAGTTATTGCTATTGTTTTCTCCTTAGTTTTTAAATCCGATATTTTTTTACAGTATTATTTATTACGACATACTAATCTCGAAACGAAACATGCATTTGAGTAATCTCTTTTTTAGGAGTTCGATTTGATTTTTTAGGAGTTTTCATTCTTGATCTTTACTTTCGGCAATTACTACTATGGATTTCACGATTTTTATTTATATTTTATTGTGATGATGCGAAGATTTACCAAATGCGAAGGATATAATTAGTGCTCCCCCCCCAACAAAATGCGAGGATATCACCCATAATATTAAAATAAAAAATTATTACATGTTCAATTAAAAGAGTGTTTTTATTTTTGTAAACATGTTGCTTTTGTTGTTTTGAATGAGTAACATATATGTTTGTTATTAAAAATATCTTACAGAAGGATATTAGTGCTAGACAGTTTTGTCGCAGGTAGCTCGAAAAAATTTTGCCACAGGGCTGAATATGATGACTGCTTGATTATTTATGATAAATTTAAAATCACTGGAAAACAAGCAACTGCCATAGCCATTATAAATTGATGTTTTTATTTTGAATTTCTTTTATTTCTAAGTTAAATATAGTTGCTTCATAAATTTTTCTTTGATCTAAATATTCGAGTTCAGATTATCGGAACCTTTTTAAGCTCATGTTCTACTTCTAAGGATGCTTCAATGGTTTTGCTAACTGCAATTATTTAAAAAATTAACGAAATTGACTTGAGGCTTACCAATATAAAAATCAATGTTGATAATAAAACATGAAAATCAATGTTGATAATAAAACATGAAAATCAATGTTGATAATAAAACATAATAATCAATGTTGATAATAAAACATAATAATAAGTTGAAATATAAATCAAAATTTAATTATTCATAAAAATAAAGAGTAGCTGTGAGATACTATAGTATCAGAGCAATCAATATAATTTTTTGCCAAGTAACGTTATTCTTTCTCTACAGTCTCTACATATAAACAGGTTTAGAATTTAATTAAAGTTCAGGTAAGTAGAAAAGATATTTTGCAATGCAAAGTAGTTTTATAATTAATAAGATAAGAAATCAGGTGTTATGAGGCAGGATTAAATTTAAATTATTACAGTGTATTATTAGTTTGACTTTTTGTTGAATACAATAGTGTTTGCTTAATTGTAAATGCTTTTTGTTTTATTTTGTATGTATGTTATCAAATTCTGATATGCCATAAACAGAATGTAGATGTGTTTTTAATTCTGATTTAATTTTTACATTTTTTAAAAATTCTCATTAATGAAAATTTTAAATTTTTTTTATTAGTATTACTATGCTAACATAATAAATAGTTACTTGACCAACATAAATTATATTTTGTTAATCAACTGTGCATTATGGTCCTGTACTAGTCTGAAATATCTGTGTGCATTAAGATTTTTGTTTTATACAAGCCTGGCTGTGTGTATCTGTGTGTCCTCATAAAGCTTGTGATTATAATTAAAATTATTTATTTTTTAATAATATTAATTAAATTTATTTGAGAAGCTTATTTCTAAGCGGGAATATTTCTATTTTCCATTTTTTTTTTTTAATGAAAAGGCTTTTAATCTCTATGTAGTGAAACTTCCTTTAAGAAATGATTAAAAAACTTTCATTAATTGCTATAAATTTAAATATAAAAATTATTTTTTATAATGATAGGTGTAAAAGTAAATATTAACTGAGTTTTTTAAAAATTTTTTTTGTTTATTTTGTTACTTAAAAGAACTTCAAAAGTATTTTTTAAATTGTTAACCTGGTGGCCGAAACTGTTTTGTCTTGTCATGATGCTGGTAAGTGTTTATTTTAATGAATTATGGTGTGGGGTAAAAGCTTTGGTTATAATGCTGGATGCCTGTTTAGACTTAAGTGTGTATTTTGTGAAATAGTTGGATGTTTATTTTTCACGTCTTGTTACAATTCATTGTGATATTTAATCCAAGAGCAAAAAGTAAGTCAAAAAGCATCCACAAAAAGTACTTGAAAATGCAATTTATTAAAAGTTTTATTTGTTAACATAATATTATTTAGGTTTAGTCATACTGTTAGATTACTACGAAATATTAAAAAAAAATCTTACTAATCTGTATTAATTTTTTTAAGAAAATCATCCTAAGGTTTCTCATATGGAAAAAAAAATCAATCTAAGATATTTCGACGAATTTTATAAAAATAAAGCGCTTTTGTAAGTGTAAGCTATTTGAAAATCATGAACCTAGTACAGCAAAGTTCATTTTCTACAAAATTTGCTGTTATCTATAAATTTTCTTTTTTCCAGTTATGTATTAAGATACGTCAGTTTAGCTGGGTATTATAAACGTCCTTTTTTCAAAAGCTTGTATTATTACACTAAATCTCTATGCTCTACTTTATTTTTTTTTTTTTAAATCTCAATAAATGATCATTATCCCACAATTTTTCATATGGTTATGCAGAAGATGTGTTATGCTATTCTCTTTCTTTTTATGAATATTCAATCTAAAGTTGCTAAGCTTACTATATAAATGAATTACTTAATAATATAGAACATTTTCTTTTAAAATACTTCCTGTTTAACCCAATCTTTCAACAGGCATATAAAAAACAAACAAGTGTTTGGATTAAAAACTCTCATTAGAAATTCTCTGTTAAAAGCCATCTAAGTTGAGCCTTCCTTATTTCAATTGATGTCTTCATATGATAAGTCAGGGCTTTTCAAATTCACACTGGTAAAATTTAGACAGAAATTTTTATTTTATCATAGTTGTTTAGACAGAAGTTAATATTTAATAAGCTTTTAAGAGGAAAACAATTTTGCTAAGTCTTTTCAACGTATTGGGTACCAATACTGAAGATTATAATATTCAATAAGTTCCGTCAAATGAATTGTCTTTGACATCACTGACATTTCCTAGTTCCGTATACATATACCATATAGGGCAGGACGCCAGTGCACAGCTCTGCACCTAAGCTCCCAATCAAGGCATCAAAAAATACTGTGACCAGAGAAGCTTTATTGAGAGCATTAGATCTTAGCTTCTTTCATTAATGTTCCTAGAAGAATTGCAAATCTATGCTGCATTAAACAAATTTGTTGTGTAAAGGAAAACCTTGTGGAAAAAAAGGAAGTCTTAGGATGCTGCAATTCAGTATTTTATAGAAGTTACTATTCGCTGGTTGTTCAGAGCTTGAGAGTGTGTTTAGTGTTTTAATAATTCTATATAAGCTGAGCATTACTGTGATTTAAGAATCAAATCTAGCATGAGAAAATCTAACATGATCTAGCTAATACTGAGCTGTTAGGGCATAAGTTTGAATATTAAAATAGAACATTAAACTTTTTCATGAAAATAAGTGGGAAATAAAAACAGATATTGCACAATGCCACCATATTCCATGTTGCCACTATTGGCGTTGAAATTGTGAAAACTGGTCATGTGATGTAGGCGGTTTAAAAGTGCATTTACTGTGCATGTCTTTAAGATAATTTATTTTTTTGCTCTATTCTATATTTCTAGTCCTAAATTATTTAAGTTTAAAATGGTATTTTTCCTAAAAACCAAAATTGGATGTTATTTATTATTGATGGTTAGTATATGAGAATTGCTGTGTTTAACAGCTCGATTGTCTTGTTTCAATCTCAACAGGGAAAGTCATTACCGATTTAAAAATTCAATCTATCATGAGAAAGTTCTAATACTGAGCTGTTAGGGCATAAGTTCGAATATTAGAATAGAACATTAAACTTTTTCATGAAAATTACTGTGAAATGAAGGCATATATTGCACAATGATTACCAAGTTGCTGCCATTGGTGTTGAGATTGTGGAGCCTTAACTTTCACGACCCCTAGTGACTTGCTTTTTGACTTTCATGATAATATGGCATTAAGACAGATTTGTATTTTTTTCTGAATTTAAAGAATCATGTAAATTTAAAAAGATTCTTGAGTATATATTTCTGGAAAAAAAAGGGGTTTAGTTTCAGGGTTTGACTAATAACTGAAATACACCTATTATTTTAAATTGTAACAGACATTGTAAATTTAAGCAAAGTCTATTATAGCCCTCATGAAATCTGGGAAGTTTCACTACACACCAAATTAATTTTCCTGAAATTTTGTATTTAATATATTATGGCCTACCTATGTAGTATTTGATTAGTTAAGAATTGCAGACATCTATTTCAGGATGAGAAAAATAAAATTGTACATGACTGTGATTCATCTTCAGATTCAGATGATTCTGAAGACTCTACAACCAAACCCAAAGTTAATGAAAAAGAGGATTGCGGTAAATGGGAGAAACAATTAAGTTTAAAGAGGGAGGATAGTGAGGAGCCGGAAGATGTTGAGCGAGATTTAAAAGAACGTCTTGTTCAACTTAAGACTGCCCTGACTAGACAAAAATTGGTAAATGGATTATTAAACATTTATGATGACTATGTATAGAAATAATTGCAAACAGCTTAAATTGAAATTCATGACTTAGAAAGATTAAAATCATATGTATGAAATTGAATTCTTTACATGTTCTGCAAGGAAGCCAAATTTAATGCTTGGCTTACTGTATACCTTCTGCATAACCATATACATTTTTGCTACAGAAAGGTGGGGCACTTAAAACCACTTTTTTTCAAGTTTTAGCAAATTTATTTTATTTATTTTTTAATATTATATTTTTGAATAAATTTTCGTCTTAGTTTGGTATGTAGTTTAGATACTCTTACTTCAATTAAAATTCATCTCTGAGTACTATTCCATAAAAGTAGATTTCCTTAAAAAAAAAAATTAAAAAAAAAGAAGAAAAAAAAAATAAAAACCTTGAGACAGTCCTAACATTAAAGATTGAGATAGAATATCTGATAAATAACTCTGAATTTAATCAGCTGCTTGTCCAAAAATTTCAGGTGGTTTATCCATACCTGCCAAGTCTCCTGTTTATTAACGCAGACTCCTGTATTTTGCTACTATCTCCTATTTACCCATAATTCTCAAATTTCTCCGCATTTGTTGAAGAAATTAAAAAGAAATTTTTTTTTGGCAATAAAATATCCCCTGATGGCAAAAAATACTTCTCTTATTCCTCAACAGATGTGGTGCTATTGCCAATACTGCAGTATGTTGAGTGTTTATAGTTTAAGCAATTATAAATAATGGTTTAAAAAAATCTTCTTTAGATTAAGATTTATATACATATTTTTTACTTCGCTAAGTGCTTATATTATTTCCAATTTAGAATTTCTCCTCTTGACTTTCATGATTATGCATGATGTATCAAAACTTTACTTGTAGCCTAAAAAATGTTGCTAGTAAAATCTCCATTATTTTATTTCTCCAACGTTGGCAGGTATGTGTTACTTGAAACGTGTGATCCTTGTTTTTTTTCTTTCCTTCTTTAACTTGATTGTTCAAAACTGCGACATTAGGATTGCTATTGTTTAACAATTCTCAAAAGATAACTTTAAGCAATGTAACTAAACCTTCTAACATTAAAATTATTATCATTACTTATATAATTTGAACCCTAATTCACATGGTCTGCTGATAATTTCTATTTACATAAGCTAATTCCTTTTTGTGTACTTAATGCTGGAGTTTTAAGGTAGTCAAAGTATATTCCACCTTCTCCGAACTCATATTATTTTTCACAACTTTTAAAAATTTAGTATATTATTATAATTTTTTTTATAATTCCTGAGTATTTTCTTATTATTATTTTCTTTCTTATGATTATTTTCTTGTGATTCTTACTAGTTTAGTACTTCTTTTAAATAATTATATTATGCTTGTATTGTAATTTTAAGAAAGGAAAAAAGATCATAGCCTACCATTGTATGTTATTTCTTTTTAATGAGGTGATATATTTACATGAAAAGTAATGTTTGTAAAATGAGATTTTATGGTCTTTTTTATAATACATAAAAACCTTTGTATTTCTTTTAATTTTAAACCTTTAATTTTGTAAGTTCTAGATCAAAGGTTTTTGCTCCGGGAAAGGATTTCCTAGTTTGTAGGAAGGAATAAGGTCAGTTTAACTTATTGAGTAGAAACACCAAATTAAATCTTTAAAAAAAAAAAAANAAAAAAAAAAAAAAAAAAAAAAAAAAAAAAAAAAAAAAAAAAAAAAAAAAAAGCATAAGGAAATACTGGTTTTGTCAAAGTGCTCAAAAAAGGATTTTTAGAAATAAGAGTTGACTAAAACATAATACAGTGAAACCTCCTGGAAAAACCACCTCTATGTACTGACCTTCTATATTTACAACCACTTTTGTGGGGCACAGAATTTTTTCCATAGACTGTGTTGAAGAAAACCTTTAAGAAAGACCATCAAAACCTCTCCCAGGGACCGGACCGGGTAAACCTCTGCACCAGGAGCAGCAGAAAAGGTCAAATAAGGAAACACAAAAATATCAAAACAAAAATAATAACAAAATAAATAGGTAAATTAAAATGTATTCAAAATATTTGTGTGAGGCTCTTATTTAGAGAGCTCTTTATGACGATCTCTGAAAGAGATCTACAACCTCGTGTTACAGTCAGATTGCACTAGAGGCGATGCTATCAATGATTTTTTAGAGTTGAAAGTTGAATTAGAAAAAACATCTCAAACAAAATAACACCTACCCATTTTTTATCCTGTTTTTCACAGGCTTGGGTTCTAAGTCTAAATTTATTCTCATTCAGATATTTATCTTTGTTCTCTGGCTGTAGCTATTCCTAATATGGAAGAATTTAGTTAGACATTTTTAATTATAAATCTAATTTTAAACGGGTTTGAAAAACAAAATGGTAACTATAAAGTTATTTTTATAGATAAATGTTATATAATTTAAACTTTGCAATTTCTACTTCATGATTCTTTTCTATTATGTGCTAACAACAAAAACTTAAATTTAACAAGATTTATATTTTGGTACTTTTATAATTAATGTACAAGGTACGCAGTTGGTCAGTTTTTCTTGAAATGTAAGTATTAAATTGTTCCTGCATATTAAACTCTGTAATGTAACCTTCACGTTCATATACTTTTTAGTTTTTATTCATCCTTCTTGTATCTCTTATATTAAACTTAATTTTTTTACTTTTAGATTTCTGGACAAGGACAAGTTCAACAACTTCAAGTAGCGGCCCCAGTTCATATGTCACAAGCAAACTCTCAGGCAGTTACTACAACAACTTGGACAACTTCTGGTGGAAATTCAGTTATTTCCTCTTCAGAACCAGCGAATGCTGGTCAAGGACAAGCAGTTACAGTCACAACATCAGCAGCATCCATTAATGGTTCACATCAACAGCAGCAGCAACAACAACAGCAGCAACAACAACAACAACAACAACAACAGCAGCAGCAACAACAACAACAGCAGCAACAACAACAAATGACCTTAACAAATTTTCAGTTACCTAATGGACAAATAGTTCAAGGCCAGGTTAGTCAGATAATTGCTGGTAGTGGCGGTGCAACATGGTGGCCAGGTTCGCCTGTAAGTGTACAATCACTCGCTGGACTCAGACCTGCTAATGTAATACAGGTGCAGGGTTTACCTGTTGCTGGATTACAAGGGGTTCAAGTGCAGGGAGGCCAGGCGCAACAAATTATAGCAAATGCTCAGACTTTGCAGAGTCTTGGTTTAAGCCCCAATGTTCTCGCTGCAACTGCTGTTCAAGCTACTCCAACACATCAGCAGCAGATTCCACCTTTAAGCCCTGTTCAAACAATTCATCCTGGTGCACAAATTATCAGTAAGTTAAACTTTATGTAAATTGATAATCAGATAATTGGAAGTTTTTGTAATACAGTATGCTTTCGACTATCTGAACTATTAAACAGGAATTTGCAAATATGGAAACACATATAGTCCAGAAAGATGTTTTTCAAATATTTAGTTGAATTATAAACAAAATTGTGTATGTCTAATATTAATGCACAAAATGTATTCGTCTACTAATTCTATTTTTAGTAAGCAGCTAGTTTACAATGGACCTTTTCAGCTATAATAGTTATCACTACTCTCATCTATATTGAGTTTAAAAATATTTTAAACTCCTTGGTTCATTTTGACTGTAAAATGTTTAAATTAATTGCAAATTCTGTGTGATTTTATAATCAGAAGTAGTTCAATCCAAAGTTTATTAGCCAATTATAAAAAAAAAGTTGGTCTTAAGTTTTTTCTTTTCTTTTAACTATTTTGTTGGTCAATATATAATCATTTTAAGTAAAAATCACAATTGTTGTGAAATTCAGTCAAGTTTACTTCGTTAAAGAAAAGAACAAAGATCTTAAAAAAAAGTTCATATTTCATGCAGTTTAGTAGCTAGCATATTAATTTATTTAAAGGTAAATTTTTGGATTTTCAAACTGAAAGAATGTAAAATAAAATTTGCTTTTTAAATAACAAATTCTGAACTTCAAAGATTACTACTTGCAATCTTGAGAAATAAGTGTTGCAAAATTTGCTTTGTTATGAAATGTTTTTTGATTAAAGTATTATAAGTGCTCGTTTTATGTTTTTAGCTCAACAGTTACAACAAGATCCAAATGATCCTAATAAATGGCAAGTAGTGGCAACAGCTACGAATCCTGTAGTCAACTCATCTCAGCAGCAGACTGCAGTGATTCAGAACTCTACCACTCCAACACCATCTGCTGCAACTCCAACTGACGGTACTCCAGTTAGTTCAGAAGCAGCTGCTGGCCGGAGAATGAGAAGAGTGGCTTGTACTTGTCCGAATTGTAGAGATTCTGATGGAAGGTTCGTTTACACATTTTATTGTTTTACATTAGTATAATGAGCGATAATTCTGTATTATTGGGTCACTTAATAAAATTGACCATTGTTGAAGGAGTAATAAGAAGTTTGGACAAGGGAGAGGGTTACTAGTTGTGTGATATTGCAAATTTTAATCCATCCTTCACAAAAATCTTGAAATCATTAAATTAAAAGTATTTAAAAGAAAGTAATGCCAATAAATATAACTGTTGAAGACTTTGATTTCAAAACTGATCATAGTAATATTAGTTTAACTGTCAAAACTCATAGCTTTACAAAAATTAATTTGAATAAACCCATGAAGAAATGTTGAAAAATCCTAGTTGTGGACAACTGATTTCAATCCATGTGTTTAAAGTTTATTTTGATTAGTCTTTATATTTCTGTAATGTTCTTATTTATAAACTTTTTGACAGTGTTATTAATCCTCATCCTCGAAAAAGCATTTTCCAAAACTTTGACACTTAATAAAATTTATAAAATAAACTTTATTCACATGGATTAAAATCAACATTTTCCGAAGAATCCGGGAAAAAAAAAATCTAAATTAAAAAAAAAAANAAAAAAAAAAAAAAAAAAAAAAAAAAAAAAAAAAAAAAAAAAAAAAAAAAAAAAAAAAAAAAAGGAGTTCGTAATTTTCCTCATACCAAATATTCTGTCCTGATTTTTAGCTTTTTTTCCTGATGATCCTTTTTTTTAAATTTCTTTCTCTAATTAAAAAAAGGTAAAACTAGACCTGTCGTCAATGTCAAAATTAGTACGTTTTTGTCAAAAATAGAAATCAAAAACGTGTATCAAACAAAAAGAAGTTAGCGGCAAAAATTAAAACCTTTTATTTATTTATTTTTTCTCATAAGGAGGAATTGCTGTATCCGTGTTGGAACAAAAAATTTTGTATTAAACCCAACTTTTATAAGTCATGCACAGCAGGTGTTTCTCACTCATAGATTACTGAAGAAAAACTAATTTTTTAAAGAAATAAAGCTTTTCCTCAACCAACTTTAATTTTTTCTTTAACTAAAAGAATCTAATTATGCCTGATATAAAATTTCAAGATTGAGGTGAGGATCCCATTGTGGCTCCTTCCCTGGAAAATATTTGAAGTTTATAGGCTGCTTTGAGGCAGAATTTTTCTGAATTTCTGCGATATTTATATATTATTTTTCTGAATTTCTGCGATATTTATATATTTTTCTGAATTTCTGCGATATTTATATATTATTTTTCTGAATTTCTGCGATATTTATTATATGAACAGTGACACTATTTTCCCATTTTATTTCCTTTTTCAAATTTTGTTAGTCGTCACAATCAAACAGTAAAAAATCGTGATATTGGTAGCAGTAACTAGAAAAAAAAGTCTATGAAAAAGCACATAGATTTATGAAGGAAATTTTGAAAACGAGTATTTCACAATTCGTTTGTAAATTAATATTGTATTGTTAATCTAAATTTTTGCATAGCTTGGTCCAAGGGGCTCAATGCTTGAAGGTTCAAGTTTAAAAATGTCTTGTTTTTTTTGATAATTAGATCAGTTTTAACACATATTATTTCAAATTAAACTTCACTTTATGATTGAGATACTTAAGTTTATATGTAACAAATAAAGTTTTCAAGTTTCTTTCAAAAAATTTCCTTTCGCTAAAAGGAGAATAGCCACTTTTGCTGGAGGGATATAGTTCCTATATTAATTTGAATTTTGTTGTAAAGATAAATTTATTTGAATATTCTTTGTTTTTGACTGTTTTGTGTTTAAGGTTTTTTTATTAAATCAAATATCCTTTCCTTTGTTTATTTTAGAAATAGTGAATCAAAAAAGAAACAACATATCTGTCATGTTCCTGGCTGCAACAAAGTTTATGGTAAGACATCTCATCTTCGAGCTCATCTCAGATGGCACACGGGTGAGAGACCATTTGTATGCAGTTGGATGTTTTGTGGTAAAAGATTTACACGTTCTGACGAACTACAGCGCCATCGAAGAACACACACAGGTACGTTAGTGTCAAATCTGTAATATGGTTGAGAAATTTGCTCTTTGTGTGTTCATGAATTGGACTACTTATACCATAGCAAAATTTTATTGTTTTACTCTTTTTTATAAAGACAGGGTATCTGCGCACCTGGAAAGTCATGAAAAATCATGGAAAGTCATGAATTTTGGTATTGAACAAAATTTGTCATGATTTTAACTATTTTTTAAAAAGAAGTCATGGAAAGTCATGAATTTAGGTCACCAAAAAAATCTAATTATTAAACTGGTATTTACCCCTCCCCCAATTTCTTGGTGTTCTGAATATCTGAATTTGTAACAAACTCCCCACTCACAGTCATATTTTATTAAAATATAAAATGTTTTTATCATGTTCTTTAAAAATTGTGTTCTTTCAAAANAAAAGGGGGGGGGGGGGGGGAACGTCTATTTTAGAGCAAATTATCTTTTAAACTTCTGTGATTTCAGAATTTTTATTGTTTATTTTTTTATTTTATCAATTTAAAATTCTAGCTGAAGCAAGCCAGTGATTGGCGAATTATTTTTATTCCAAAATGAGAACAGAAAAATCAGAAGTATTTCTTTCCTTTCCCTTGAACAAGAAAAATATCTTTAGATTATAATTCTGCGGAAAAAAAAATAACCTTTGTATTTTTTCAGCTATTTTATTGCTTCAAATCTTTATTTTCTCGGTTTTTTAAATTAAAAATCTATAAATATGAAGATGCAGAGTATAACAGTTTTGGTTATACCTTTTATTTTCAATTGATGTTATTATAATGCTTTTTATAACCCACTTTTGGTGGCCGACTTTCTCCGGGTCATGAATTTCATGGACATTGTTTAGCCCTACTAATTTCGGGAATAAGGAAGAAGAAGATAATGAATATTAACTTCGTCAAGTCATGAAAAATTCTTGGAATGAGTCATGGAAAGTCATGAATTTGAAAATCTAAAGTGTAGCAGATACCCTGTAAAGATGATTGTTAGAATTTTTTTAATTGCAGGGAAATTATCTTTTGTTAATTACTTAGATGTGCATTGATTGCTTTGGTGAAAATATATTGCACTTGGTAAAACTAGATTGTGTTTTATTCCAAATTTTTTGCTTTTCATTACCAAAGAAACACTTTAAAAATAGTGTGAGAGCTTTTTTGAAACTGGGGCAAATTATCACAACTGTCAGTTGTCAAGTAGACTATTTATAAATTTGACCAAGTGTGTCATAAAAATAATACATTAGGTGTTTTATATAATGCAATTCTATATATTTTAATAATTCCATTGATATATTGCCATTTTTAATAGGTAAATTTAATATACATGAAATGAGATGTGTATAACACGAAATTTGGTATAACGCCTATGCTTCAAATTTTACGTTATAAAGGTCTTCTGTTGTATAAAGGATTGAGTGAAATGTTTAAAGAATAAGAAAAACTAATAACATTAAAATTCTTACGTAAAATGTAGCAAAATTTACTTTGCCAATTACTGTTTATCTGTATTTACAAAAACAGTGGAAACATTCCAAATGAAAAGGTGATCACATTAAAAGAAACCAGAATATCTTCTTCTTCAGCACTGTTGATTAAATTTGTTAAATTTCTGCTTTTAGTATTTTACTTCGGCACTTGCCGTTTCCATGACTTTATTCTCCCCTTGAACTGGCATCTTCATTATACATGGGACATTCGAAATGAAATCTTGCTCTTGGTCAAATTCAGCACCCTCTGTCTTACCTGGTGTCATCTTTGAGTGTTATCCTCTCAGTGAAACTTTGGTTTACCTTAGAACATTTTTAATCTTAGAGGCACTTAGCCTTGAAAGGGAGACACTTGAAATTTTAGTCGACTATTTTATTTATTCCACTAAGCTTATTTTAGTCTTATTTAATTTTAATGTGATTTTTCATATTTTACCATTTGATGTTTTACCTGACCTTACTTTTATATGTTTTTATCTGTATTTTTGACACTTTTATTGTCGGTTGATTTTATCCACTTTGATGTTTTAAGCACTTTTAATTTTTATTTTGTTTTATTTTTATTTTACTTTTTCGATTTTGGGATTTTTCCTATGTGTTTTAATCTTTTTAATTTTGTACTTTTACTTTTCTGTAGTTAGGTAGTGTTTAGTCACGTGCAAACGTGTGAAACCTTTATCCGCAAACTCCTTCAGGGGTAGGTCGGTTACTATTGGTTTCTTCTTCAGCACGACAGCCCCTTACAGGCCTTGGCTGCCTCAACCACGCTTAGCTTCCAACACCTCCTATCCATGGCGACTTTTTTCCAGTTGTTAATCTTTATTACTTTGAGATCTTTATTAATGTCGTCCAGCCATTTAGTTGGAGGTCTTCTTCTGGCCCCGAGATCCAGAAGGATTTTTAAAGGTTGCGATTCATACTGCATTGTTTTCTGGACCTCTCCAGATATGTCCAAGCAATCTTAATCTATTGCTTCGGATGACCTGCACTATTTGTGGCTGTCCATAGAGTCTATATAATTCAAAGTTGTATCTGATTTGCCAACAGCATCTTTCCTGTACTGGGCCAAAAATATTTCTAAAGTTTTTCCTTTCAAAAACACCAAGAGTACTCTGAGTGTCTGCGTTTAGTGTCCATGTTTCACTTGCATAGAGCAATACAGGTAGAATAAGAGTCTTATAAATTTTAATTTTGGTTTTTCGACTGATTAGGCTTGATCTTAATTGCTTTCTTAGTCCAAAGAAACACTTGTTTGCCATTTTAATTCGGTTGTCTACTTCTGTTTTTATGCTGTTTTGGTCATTGATCATTGTTCCAAGGTATTTGAATTCATTTACCTTTTCAAAGGTGTAACCATTTATGAATAAAGGATCATGATTTACAGTTGTGGCTGGAGATTCTATAAATTTAGTTTTATCTTTGTTGATGGTAAGGCCCATATTTGTGGCAGAAGTTTCAAGAGCCAGAAAGGCCTCTCTCTCTGACCTTCCTATGACATCGATGTCATCGGCATATGCCAGTAATTGAACTGATCTATTCCAAAGGGTGCCTTTTCGGTCTAATCCACTATCTCTGATGCATTTCTCCAGAGCTAGATTAAAGAGTAGACAGGCGAGGGAATCCCCCTGACGCAGGCCTCTCTCTGTTGAAAATGGTTCCGATAATTGATTTAGAATTTACCAGAATATCTACTTTGAATATATTTTTTTAGTTACATTGTAAAAATTGTTTTTCTTTCTATTTTTTTATAGGAGAAAAGAGGTTCCAGTGTGCAGAGTGCTTGAAAAGATTTATGAGAAGCGATCATCTCTCTAAACATTTAAAAACTCATCTCACAAAGAAAGGTCTACCATCTGATATAAAAAGTGAAGGAGAAATAACAGATGATATGGCTCCCGATAGCTGCGACCTTTCTATGACGGTGGATGTTGAACCTGATATTGATCTTTCCATAAATGAGAATGTAGTGGAGAGTTCTCAGAATATGTAAATTTAAACTGACAATTGACATATCATGATCATACTAACAATTGTTTACTTCACTGAAATACACATTTTATAATACAACTTCACCCTTTTTATATATAAATTTAGTTATAATTTTTGGAAACTTCAAATTTGTTAATCAAATATTAATGCTAATTATCTTAATTTTGGGTACTATTTTGTTATTTGGGGGCTGTAAAGAAATTTTCAATCTCTTACGGTGATCGGTACTTTTTGTATTGTGATCACGGGTACCTAATATATCAATATAGGTACTAAGGTGGTATGTTTTTTACGGTCCTTTGGAGTGGAATAGTACCAAATGTTCTCGTTTTTAATTAGGTAAAAATTTGAATGAGCTTTGGGGTAATTACATTAAATAGTCTAGAAGTTAGTGTATTTATCTAATAGCTTTCCAAACAGAATTTGATATTCAATTAAAGTTTTTTGTGTTTTATCAAACAATATGATTCCTCTACTTAGTTTGCAAAAATGCTTCCTTTGATAATTTCAAGACATTAGTTTTGATAAGAAAGTGTCTTAGTTAAATTACAAGCAAATCTCTTGCAATCAAAAGCCGATCTAGTATTTCTAATCTGAGATTGATACAATTAAAGCATTTAAAAAGTGTTCTAAATTTTAAAAGACAATAATGAAAAGTCTAAATGGCTAATCTTTTTTACTATATTTTTCTTCCCTGTTATTTTAATGCTATCTAACCCATCAGTGCTAAAAATGTTTTCATAAATAAAAATTAAAAAAAAAAGTTTTCATAAATGTTGTTCTTAAATGTTTATATCCTGTTATTATTTTTATATGAAAATATTAATGGCAATACTACTTTAAAATGTATAAAATGAAAATATACTTTAAAATAATTTTGAGCTTAATCACTTATTATGAAATTAGTCTTAAAGTAGAAAATTTTATTGTATGATCATAAAGTAATGTCAGATATTTAAAGCCTTATAACTAGAAAGCTACTTAATCACACATCATAAATCTAGCTTAATTTGTGTCAAAATTGAAAATTGTGTTTACGATAATCATATGTTTTTTATACCCTTATCAATTAAAAACAATTGAATCTACTTCACGCTGATTCTAATTATAACGATTTCCAGAATCAAAAGTTTAATGAAAATTTGAATAGTTCTGTCAACTGTAATAATAATAAATTGTAACAAATAATTATAATAATAAAAAAATATAACAATAATAAAATTTAGTAATAATAATAAAAAAAACATCGAATTTTAAATGACTCTTATGAAAATTTAAGTTATTTTTCAAAGTCAACGAAATAGTTATGTCAGAAATTATTTTTGTTACTCTTGTTTTAAAATTTTGCTTTCAATTAAGTTTGTTCAGTATCGTTTACTGACTGGTTTGATTAATTTAATAAGACTTTGGGGCAGTTGGTATTATTTTGAAAAAGCTTTATTTTCTTTGTTAGTTAAATGTGTAAAAATATTAAAATTTTATTCTTAGTGCAGCATGCATTTAGACTTGAGGCTGTAAGTAAAACAGTGTGCACTCTCCAAATTTATTTTTAAAAAAGGAATTTACAAAGTTAAGCAAAATACGAGTTGCGGATCAACATTTAAGCAAAGAGGAAAAAATGAAATCTAACAAATCACTACTAATGAAGGAGAGACAGAAACCATCAAAACCTTTTTGATTGCCAAAGAAAACAGGAATGGAAGGGTGATTTTTATGAACACTTTCAAACTTTATCAGGTAATCAAACATGTTCTGATTTTTATAATTTCACCTTCCATACTAGTGATTTAATAGATATTAATTGCCACCTCAAATATGTAAATTGTTTTCACTTCATTTCTGACAGGGTTTCAAAGAGCAATATATTAAGGATGTTGATAGCAAAACACCTTGCCTTGCATACCATTAAACTCCAATGTTGAAATCAAAAATATTCTAAATCTTATTAAAGAATCTATCTGAAAACAATAGTTTCAATATAACTTTTAAAAGTAAAAAACTTATAAAATTGTTAATTAAAAGAATTTCATACTAGTGATTAAAAATGGTACATTTTCAGTTGGCCCTAAATACTGAATGCTATATAATTCATTAATATGACATGCAAGAATAGAATTGGTTGATGAATTTTTGATATTAAATAAATTATTCAAATGTTGGGCAATAATGAAATATTTTGCCGATTTTTATATAAGTTTTTATTTTGTGTCTCATTTTGTAATAAGTTAATGTATATTATATTTTCATTGTATTTTTTTTTAAGTCCATCATTCAGTTTTGATTGAATAATTGTAAATTTGTTTGTATAGCAAAATTATTTGTTTTAATTGATTATTTCATATTTATCCTGCACTGCGAATTGTCGCCTATCTTATTTTTCTTACAGGAATGTGTTAGTACTGATTTTATTTTATTGCAAATCAACTTGGTTTTTGTTCAGAACTCTAAAATTCTTGCATGTGATAACCTCACAAAACAATTTTTAATTTAAAACTGAAACCTCCAAAATCAAGCATGTAAAGATTTGTAACTATCTATAATACTTCTTTCATGTTTTCATTAACGTTACATTTGTCTATTTGTTATATCTGTAATTCGTTATTACTTGTTGATATTTTCACTTTATGTTTCATTAATATAATATGTCCATTTTATAAATTACTTCTTTATATCCCTTCAAAATAATTTTTAAATGAAAAGCTGTTACAAACAACTAGGTAAGTAATTTCCTTTTTGTATATGTTACTAAGCATTTTAAGTGTAGATATAATGATCTATTGTATTTGAATATTTGTACAAAATTGTACAGATTTCCATGTTATGTATAGTCCTTTCCCAATTTCTGCAGAAAAATATGAAAAATTGTATAGATTATTTACAGAACAAATTGTTTATATATGACTTAATATTTAATAAATATTATTACTTGTCTTTATTAGTCTGGTATTTTCTTGTTTTCAAGTTCAGTTTTTAGGTGGTTTTAATATTCTGTTTAGAGGGTGACTAATTAAATCAATATCAGATTTTTAGTGTTCTTAATTCAATTCTGTCAATCTTATTTCGTTACTTCTTGTGCCAAAATAACAACTAAAATAAAAGTACGGCATGCTTCCGAGTAACCTGAAACTTCTACCTTATTCAGGGTATTTAAATAATCGTAAACTGTTTCATTGGAGGAGGATTCGGATAGGAAATATTACTAATACTATAAGAAACACTTTTAAGTTGAAACTGGTAATCAAATATGTTTTATACATCCGTATGATTTGTCAACTGAATATCATAGCTCACATATTAGTTTGAGATTCCTATATGTATACTAGATACTTTTTCTCCTTAAAATGGATTCAAATTCTAAAAACAAGAGTAGTCATTCTTGAATATCTTGTATAATTAATTAGAATTTTTAATTTGGAAATGTTTCTTTATATGTTATGAAGTTTAAAAATCGTTACTAAACTTGTTCATTAGCAATAATAAGGAACAGAGATGGGAGAGCGTAAATGCTGAATAACACCTGGTTTTTCATGCAGTACGAAGTAATAATGCAATTTTATTTTATCACCGTTGTTGAACAACCGACCCAATTTTTTTAGTTTACGACTATCAATGGTCAACTCCTTATCTTTGTGATTTTGAACCCAATCCAGAAGACAAGGGAACTCTTGGATCAAGTTTTGAGAGAAATTTGTCTTCCTGGAGGATTCTTTGATGGAACTAATCTGCATATGCGTCATATAGAGGCGAAAACCTCTCATGGTTAACCTAATTGCAAGGGGACTCTAATGCATGATCCGTCTACCTCTGAGGATATTTTACGTCGTTGTGGTCGGTGCAAGCCGGATGCAGAATTCGTATCGACCAACCATCGCTGGGATTAAAATCCGGTTCACCGCATTGGAAGGGGAACGGTCTATCCCCTGAGCCATCATGGTTCTCGTAAACCGTTTGGTAGATTTATGAAGTTGGTGCTCGTTAAAGAATTTTGTCAACCTTCTTGGAGGTCTTTTTGATGAAACATTTGCGTTACATGGAATGAAAAACTATGAGAATCCCCACGGTTAGCCTGGCAGCAAGGGGACTAACCCATGATCCGTCTACCATTGAGGATATTTTACGTCAGCTCTGTGGTTGGTGAGAGATTCGTATTGATCAGTGATAGCTCTGATTTTAATCCGGGTCACACTATTGGTAGACGAGTGTTCTATCCCCTGAGCCACTACGGCTCTTAGTAATGCAATTGAGGACTTTGAACTCTTGGGAGGGGATTTAGCTTTAGATAACCATACAAGATCTACAATCCCAAATTGTGCTAGAGACATGCCGCCTATTTATTTCCTCATTCACTTTAGTGTTGGATTTTATTACCTAGCCAATGAATGCAGTCAACACTTATGCTATTATGACTGTTCGAACAATGAACTGCCAGAATAAACAATATTTATTTTTCAGTTTTATTTGAAACAGTGAAGTTCAAATCAGTTGTGGCATGTAGATTACTAATCATGCAGACATAAATAACAGATTGAGTCATATTCTGTACAAAATCTAAATCGCAATAAATTTTAGTGTCGTTCGATTAACTATCTAAACAAGTTTAAATTTTACTTGTTAACCTCTATTCATTGAAACGTACATTGATTATCGATATTGAGTGCTGACAAATGAAAAATTTTTGCTGAATTGCAGGGCTTATAAGTATTGGGAAAAGTTTTTGCTAATAAGGATTAATAATTTCAATGGTAAGCAAGTTTATTTTTACTTCCTCTTTGTTTTGTAATTGGAATGAATTGAATGCTGTGTTTTATGCTTCTTCCTGGTTTGAACCTTAGAAAAATTACAGTTTAATATGGCGTGTCAGGAAAGTGATGTGCTTGGTGGTCACTATTTCTAGAAGTGAAGAATACCTGGAATTCTCAGGGAGTTTTAAAATAACACGGGGGGGGGGGGGANGGGGGGGGGGGGGAATCTGGAGTTTTCATGGAAATCTAGAATAACTCTATAAATCCTAGGAGTTTGAGCAGTATAATAATCACACAACTTTACTAGGAGTATGTTTAAATGTATTTTTAGGCATTAAAACTTTTATTTAACCAATCATGTCTAATAAAAACTTATTCAGTGTGCTAAAATTTATTCATTTTTGTTTTCAGTGCTATTTTATTAAAGAATTTCTTTCAAGTAACATAAAGATAAACAATTTAGAAAATGCATACATAATTTATAGATTTAAATTAAGTTAATGAATTTATTATAAACAAATTTTTTAGCATTTGTGCCTAGCATTCTTTTAAAAGGAAGGTTCCTTTTCTAAAAACAAAAAAGTGGTAGCATAATTGTTTCATCATTTTGCAGAAACACAACAGTTCTGTCTACAATAATATGTTACTGCAAATGATTATATTTAGAACTGAAGTCAAATTGTGCTATTTTAAAGCTGAAGAAGTATAACGATAAGGAATTGATAGGCGATTGAATGAGGCATCGACTTTTTTTTAATCACTTTTATCAAATGGGTGGTCTCGTCTCTTATGAACCACTTTTTTTTCCCTCCGGGCATTATAACTGAAGGTCAGAAATTTCTTTTATCAATTTAAGAGTAAGACAGATTTATATGATTATTCTTCATACTTATATAAATTTTTAAATTATTATTGAATATATATTCAATAATAATTTAAGTAATTGGGGTTCATCTGGAAATCTGCTATTGTGATTTGCCATTGACATTTTATTATTTCTTTATGTTATTTATTTTACATGAGAGGTTTAATGTTTATTTCATATCGGTGTTGTAATTATTTGGTCCTCACCCAGGCTAGTGACTTCACTTTTGAATTTAATATATCTTAAAATGCACTTGAAAAAGTTCGAGAATTAACTCTTTTTGTTAGAGTAGCAACCATGTTTTTGTTTTTCTATTAAACTAAAAGGAAATTATCTTTCTAAAAATATTTTATTGCTGTTGTTACGGATAAAAATGCGTGTAATTTAGAAGAAAATTATGATGTTTAAAGATTGAATATTGTTGGTGCTCATTGTGTAACCCGTTAACAATGATCAAGCATCTAACAGGCAAAAACGGTTGACCATCTAAGTGGACTGCCAATTAATGCATTGAAAGTGGTATATTTTCATTGGATTGGGTAACCAAAATCTTTCTATTCCTTCATTGAAAAGAAATTTTTTCAATGTGCAACTTATTTTAATGCTTTTCATTTTTTCAAAAAAAAAAAAAAAATATATTCAATATCACCTTTCAAATAATTTGCAGCTCTGATTGTGTTGGATCTTTCAGCCTTTATTCACCTGATTGCTGGATGGAATTTGTAACGTTATCTCTGAATACTGCATGTAGGTAATATATTTTTTGATCTACAGTTTGTACTCTTATAACAAATATACTCTAATAACATTTCAATTTTTGACAGTAATTAAACCTAAATATGTATCTACAAAAGGCGTTATTTTTTTAAAAAAAAAAAACTAACTACTCAGGTTATCTGATGTTGTAGAAAGCACCCTTTATATTAAACTACATACAATCAATAAGGAGAAAACTACTCTGAGTTTTTGGAATATTTTAGAATTGCATTATTCGATGTATATTCTTGATTTACATAATATTTGAAGTTTGTTCTTATTCTATTCCGAAATAAAAATTTTAATGTGGGAAATAAATAATTTTCAATTTTTCATGGAATCGTATGCTCTGCTAATCAATATTTTTAGTTCAATGTTCTTAAGGCAGCTAAAAAGATTTTGTATTTGCTAATTTTCTTATTAATACCAGCTTGCAACTAGAGCTAAGTTCAAAGCTAATATTTTTTCCTTTTATGTGATCAACCAAAAAAACAAGCTAAATTATATTTATTTTCCAAAACTTTGTTCGGGTCTTAGGCTAAAGTGACCACACGTCCCGATTTTGGCGGGACAGTCCCACTTTTTGGTGGACTGTCCCGCCGATTTTTAAAAATGTCCCGCTTTTTAGAAAATATCTGCATTTCTTATTTAAAATTTACTGTAAAAATATATTCCTATTATTTATTAAATATTATGGTGAATATAAAGAAATAAAAAACACATAAAATGCGTGCAGAGTAAACTAAATTAGGCAATGTACCAAGTTAGATTTACTCGGAGGTGTGCGATCATTGTCTTTATGTCTCGGATTAATTCAGATAAGTGCGGACTGCCGTTAGACAGTGCGGTTTGTTGTTTTCAATTTGACGTTCGGTTTGACTCATTATTTGATTGACAAAGGTTGAGCAATAGTCGCCACAAAGTAACGGTCAATAAGGTAAAATTTAATACTCTTTTTTAGCCTTTGTAATAATTTTTTTATTTATTTCTAGTATTTACCCACAAAATAAAAGATGAGTAAAAAAAGAGGATGCAAATTTAATGAAGAGCTAAGCAGAGAATTTTTTTTTTTAAAAAAACCAAAATATGGTACGGTGTGATAAACGCAATACTGAATTTTCGGTCTCACATGGTAGAAAAAACGATATTACTAAACATCTAGCGACAAAGAGGCACAAAAGAATTTTTAATAATGCCGCTTCCTCATCTAAAATGGAACAGTTTTTTCGCAGTGCTAGCTTTAACAACACGGAAAAACAGCTAGCATTAGCGGAAGGGCTATTTGCTTTCCGTACCATAAACCACAATCAAAGTTTCAGATCAATGAATTGTACGTCGCAAGTGATCAAAACATTATATGACTTAAAATATGCATGCGCAAGGACAAACACCGAAGCAATCATTTGTAATGTTTTTTCACGATATTCGTTTTCACAATTGTAGAAAGAATTAGAAAACTGCGCATTTATATCCATATATTCTGATGCTTCCAACCACAAAGATTTAAAATTATTTCCCACAGGTGTTAGATTTTTTGATCCAGAAACAAGAATTAAAATTAGATTATTAGATTTTGTTTCATTGCCTGATGAAACTTCACAAATAATTTTTGATTTAATAAGTACTTATTTAAAAAAGAATAATTTAAACAATAAAATTATTGCCCATTGTGCTGATAACACTAACGTAAATTTTGGTGGAAAGGCTAGAATAGGCATCAATAACGTTTTTACGAAACTTAATGAACATTTGAAGCAAAAAAATATTGAAGTAGGTTGTGCAGCGCACATTCTATACCTATACTATTCAAACAGCATCTGACTTACTTCCAGTTGATGTTGAAAATATTTTTGCAAACATTTATTCGTATTTTTATATATATATATTGTGCGTGTTGAAAGTTTGACTAAATTGTAATTCTCATTTCATCCCATTTGTCTCAATAAAAACGTGGTCACTTTATCTTAGGCTCATCATGCAGCTTTTTTGAAGTTCATTTTTGTTTGTTTCACACCAATGTACAATATAAGTGATTGTACGCTCAGTAGTGTAGCAAGAGATGACATCTGTTTCTGAAATATTTAATTTATAATTTGAAAAATAAATTCCAGAAAATGATTTTCTCTTTTAAATATAACCAGTTTCATTTGCTAATTACGGATCTCATATTTTTCAAACTTTTATACAATTTAATTAAAAATAAAGTATATGATTGTAGTTTGCTTTGCATGGACAGGTTTTTTAATTAACAAATTGGTGACTTATTCAAAATGCTATTAGACATAATAATACCCTTGAAAACGCTTGTCAAATCAAAAGTAACTAACTTGTATAATAGAAACATACACCGTTAAATTTTAAGCTGTTTGAAGGAATATTCATTAAGTTATAGAGTTACATTGTTTTAAAAAATACTAATAATAAGTTTCAAAATTTTATTTAGTGTAAAATTTAACAATACAATATGGCTGATATTAGTTTTTATTTAGTTTAAAACTTAAGGCCACACTTAAACACTATCTTTGCCAGTACTTCCTGCAACCTGTTGTATCAAATATATTGTCCTGATTTTTAAAGAAATTTTTTTTGGAAAAAAAAAAGTTTTTTATATAGAAAACATTCTTCTTCTTTGATTTATTTTTAATAATCATTGTAATTGCTCTATTCCATTTACTACTCAATTTATTAAACTGATTCTGTAAATAGAGAGAGCAAGATCTAACTTTTAAATGCAGTCAACTCTCAATATCATTCAATATATCTTCTTTTTGGTTTATCTGTGATCTCAGAACCAATACCAACTCTGGCATTTTTAGAATGCTTTTAGTATTTTGTATATTTACTAAGTTCTGCAATGCCTTTTTTTTATTCTTTCAAATTCTGTCTTGTGATACTTAATTAGGTACACAAAGTTTATGGCAATGCTAGAAAATCGACCAATGATTGCCGCTAAAAATGTCACATGCCAAATCTAGCTGAAGTGGCTCAACATATAGCGCTTTTAAAAACGGAAACTGAAATAACCAGTGAGCATCAGCTGCGGCAATTTCATACTATTAAGCTAGGCAGAAGTGAGTAGTCTTTGTCGATAGATCTCTATTTTAGTATCTTGTCGAAAGCGTTTTTTTTCCCCCACGAATTTATTTGAGTATTTTTTATTTATATCACGAATTATACTATAGCACATAGGTTTAAAGAATTACATGTCATTTATTTGAATTCAAATTTTTTTTAAAAAAAAGTTTTTATATGGATTTGAATGATTGTTTTGAATTCTTAGAATTTTGTGCATTTGCAATGTACCTAAGTTAGTAGCGAGCTTGGTTTGCGAAGCAAACCATATAAGATTGCATAGCAATTTTTGGGGGTTGGCGAGCGAGCAGGGGACGTGCCCACCAGTTTTATAAATACAAAAAGAAAAAGCCAAATTTACAACTGAAGAATTGTTTTAAAAAATAAAAGTAATCTTTTGGGTTATCCATGGAATTCACTTATTGTTGTCACTCATTTCAATTCAACTGATAATGTAGTTCTTAAGGGCAAGCTGTCATGTTTTGAGCAGATGTGTGCATATAGTGGTCAAATTTGAATACATAATACTTAAAGAGTGCTATGTATAAATCACCACAATTCTTTTTAATTTCTAGTTAAAATTTAAAAATTTTTGAATTTATTCCTTGAAATGTCATAAATTATCAAAAACTAACACCAAAAATCTTTTTGTTTAAGGTAGAGGAAGAATATAAGTGTTATGAAATCTGAATAATGTAGAATATTAAAAGAAAAAATGAAAAATTTAAGTCCATGGACAAGAGGTGAGATTTTTCAATAGATTAAAAAAGAAATGAGTATGATTAATTCTTAACACTTAAGCAGGGTTCTTGCTCAATTATTTCAAAAAAAATTAGGACTTTTTTAGGACTAAGAAAAAAAAATTAGCACTTGATGTAAAGTAAAAATAACATACTTAATCTATACATGATATTAAAAAAATACAAATAAAGTGTTTCACGATTCATGAAATAAAAATTACATAATTAATCTATACATGATGCAAATTGCAGCTTAATTTTGTCACAATCTTTTTCCTCAATTTTCTATTTTTGACTTAAGTAATTTAATATGTTTCTCATTTTTAGAACACACTTGCTTTTGTTTTCTGACATTAATTTTGGATTGATGCAAGCAACATTTCTAACAACAGAATAGTTTATTGGACATTTCTCTAGTAAAGTTTCTAACATTTTGGTGATAAACTTTCTGCAATCTTTCTTTATATTAATATGATCCCGGTCAGAAATAACTTTTGAGGCCAACTGCTTTAAAATTTGGTCACCTTTAAAACCTACACTGATTTTTGTCAGAGAGACATAATTCTTTTCATCACAAAAATTAAAATGGCACAGTTTCTCCAGAGAATTTAAGTTTTCTGTAGATTCTGGCTTCAGAATGTTATATAATTGCACACTATGTAATACCAAATCCTGGATATCTGCAGCAAAAAATGGTAAAAGTGGCCGATCTGCTTGATACAGTTTCAAAAAAGGTGAAACTAGCTCCGACACATTTAAGAAAAAGTTCAGCTTAACAAGAATTAATTTGTCTTTTATTGCTTCTTGTAAAGTTAAAAAGGATTTACATTTCACTTTTCTAAACTTGCCAACATTTTTCACATAAGATTTCAGATCATTCCAAAGCAATATTGCTCTTTCAGCTGCAGGTGCATTTTCCAGCCAACGGTGGTTACAAAATTTTAGTGGTAATTTGTTCTCAGTTGATTGATTAATAAAATCTTCTTTTCTTGTGGGTGAATCTTTAAAAAGATAGAAGATTGAGCTCAGGATGGAACCAATGAGCCATTCTGTTTCAGATTCACCTTTGTAGAATGCGTTATTTAAAATATGAAGCCCACAACTTCCTATTGCATTGCATTGAACACCATGTTCTTTTAACAAATCTTCTTGAATATTATTATAAAACTTCCAATTGACAGCAGGACCGTCCATAGAAATCTGCAATAATTTCTTAAGGTCTACATTTTTGACTGATGCATAAAAACAGGCCAAAAGGTCATCTGCTACAGAATGGCCCAGAAAAGCTGATGTTAAGTATGGCGTCTCTACAATGTTCTTTACTGGGTTCCAAAAGTGGATATGTATATCCAACTGCTTCTGTTGTGTCGCTTTGTTCAAAGACTCATCAAAATGCAATGTATAAAACTTGGCATTATCAATGCACTTCAGAAGTAGCATGCTAAAATGAGGTGCAAGTCCAAAATGACAGAGATATGCACACTTAGATTCACTGTAGGTGAAATGACGTGCTATTGAACTGTCTAGAAACATTGTACTAAATAATTTTCCAGTGTCTTTGGAAGAATTGTAGGAGTAGTAGCTTTCTACAACTTTTAAAGCCCATAAAATCTCAGAAGAAAGAACTTCTTTCTCCAAAGCCCAAGAATCTTCTAAAAAGATGGAGGCAGCAGGAGAGCTGAAGGCAACAGAATTTAAGGATTTAGGGAAACCGATTTAAGGAATCCGATCACTCAAAAAAAGATTCAAAACGCCAAAATAAAAAATATTTAGCACTTTTTTAGCACTTTTTAGGCCCTAAAAAAGTTGGGGGAAAATTTTAGCACTTTTTTAGGACATTTTAGGACAGCAAGAACCCTGTTAAGATTAAGACATTTTAATCATTGTTGTAGATCTATATATCTGAGTAATCTCCCAGCAATTTAATTGAAAAATAAAAATACATCAAAAAAATATTATCCTTATTCATTAAGTTGCATACCTAATATCCTAAGTTACTTAGTGTCAGAGAGGATCTATGCGATATCTTTTTTATTTGTATAGCTAATTCTAGTTAGAATTATTTTATTTCGACATCCTAGAAATTTCAGAAAATTTGTTTAAAGAGCACTTTTATCTGAAATCAATATTTTAAGACTAAAATTATTTCTGCAACTGATCTATTTGTTGACTAGTTACAGACATGTGTATATGTTCAATGAATACACATAATAATAAATACAAGAATTTATTAGATCTGAGTATTGCAATTTACATCACTTTTTCTTTGCTTGCAGACCTGCACCTGCATTAAATTTAAATAGTATTATATCTCCATCTTCTACAATGTAATTTCTACCTTGTTGCCGATATTTTCCAGCAGCCTATTAAAATAAGAAGAATGTTTTTTAAAATATTATTTAAATACAAGAATTCAAAAAAATCTTGATCATCCCAAGAGTTACAAAATTCCTCAATATAGTTTATTAGAAAAGAACTTCTGCAATAATTTACCTAGGGGGAGCCCAAATTACTTTATATATATATATATATAGCTTTTATAGGTATTATTATTACAAATATTTATAAGTTTCTCTTTTTCAGAGGGGGAGGGTATATAAATATTTTAAGTAATTTTAAATAAATATGTAGATGAAGAACTGGCATAACAATTCATTAGGTGTAATTTGAGTTCATACAGTGAACATATGTTTAATGATTTTAACTGGCTTATACATAAAATTGCATGCTCAATTTCTTAACAGCATTATTAATCTCATAAACTCATCAATACCTTTTTAGAGAAAGCAAGACGTTAGAGCTGTAAGAGTATATTGATGTATGTAAAAACTGCTCGAAACCTCCTAGGGTTGTTGGAAGTGAGAAGTTTTGAGTAAAAGTGCTGAAAAATGTCTTTTTTGAGTGGTGACGGCAGTGGACTTTTCGTTATGGAGTTTCATGGTGTATGTTGAAACTGGGGCCATCATGACCATTATCGTAACAGATTCAGCACAGAAACTAGGTGAAAAATTAATCAACCTTCGCCCCACACACTATGGACTGTGACTGGTGACAAAATCAACATTCACAGAAAAGTTCACTTTAAGATTACTTTCAGAGGTGCCAGTTACCATCATGTGGCAGATATCAATGACGAATTAATCCTCAAAATCTACTTCTTACAAGAAAATAATTTTAAGCTGGAGTTAAAGAAAAACAAATTAAACTCAAGTTCAGAAGAAATGGTGATCCGGAAGATGAGACTCGGGAATTTTAAACAATTCATCATCGCAAGAGAACTTTGTATGAAAATTCTAACCCATTATTGTGGAAACCTTGGGATGAAAGCTGCCAACATTGCTCCAGAATAAAGAAGAATTATCGTCTAACAAATTCTGTGTTACGCCACGTTACAGCTCCAACAATGTTGAAACCAGATCTATGGAGCGATGAAGGGAAAAGACAAACCAAATTCACTTGCCTGATATAAAGGCCTATTCTTGAAATGAAGGAATCTGCAAGTATAAGACCAAGCTGGCAGGAATTTCTATTTACTACTAAACAGTATTGGACTCTATGGGACCACTCTACACAGTCCAACCTCATTAATGCGAAACATCGCTTTACATGAAACATGTTTGGTCCCGTGAGACAGCAATCAATTATTATTGTATTTTACACGTTTAAAATGAAATTTTACTGGACACAGTACTGAGAGGACGCATGTAGAATGTAGTATTAATTATTAATTTTGAGGAACGCTATTTCTATTTTCCTCCATTGTTAGCAGTAGCAGATGGGCAAATGAATAAAATAGATTTATAAAGTAATTAAGAATTTTATGCATATTTCAACTTGTTTGGAACTTAATAGTATTGTTTACATATATTAATGCTGTACAAAATATATATTAATAGTACATAATTATTTTCATGATGTGTCGGATAAGACGAAATATGGTTAACATGGAATAATTATGATAGTCCTGCTAATTTCGTATTGATGAGGTTCGACTGTATTAGAAATGGCGTGTTATAAAGAAAAAGGGAATATAGCAATGGGAATCTTGGCATAGCAATGGGTATCTTATTTGGCACATCGGAGGAACGGATTTTACCTCAGCTATTTTTAAGGATTATGTCAAATTCTCAGAGCAGATATAGTTGGGAATTCAACCATTTTGAATAACCCATTTCTTGTGTCAAGGAATCAGGAAGATTAGAACTTGAAGCTACCGCTGTTTCTGCCCGTATATCACAGGGCTGTCTATGAGACTACTGGATACACACTGTCTCAGTTGTTTGGTCGTGATCTTCAGTTGTCAGCCTGATACACCTTCATTGCCAAAAGAATACCCATGAGAACTCCAGGTACACTTGGAAAATGTTTGCAACTTTGCTTGTGAGTGGATTAACACGAGGGTTTACTGATGTTGGAATATAACCTTTTGTTCACTTTACAGTTTCAAAACTAAAAACTTACAAGTATCAGAGATAAAAAAACATATCAGATTCAATTTACACAGATAAAAATAATCATCCAATTTACCTTCACAGCAGCTTCAGTTTTTTCTTCTTTAAAGTCATCAAATTTCATAACCTCAGCCATAATAAAACCCTTTTCAAAATCTGTATGAATTCTACCAGCTGCCTGAGGAGCCTTGGTTCCCTTCTGCACACAAAAAATTAAAAGAAAAATCTCAATTTCCTTTTATTATAATAATAAGCTGTAACTAATCTATTATCTCTCAAAAACATATTAAATTACTAATTAAAATCTAATAAAAATGATGTTTTATTTATACATATTACTTACACTATAACCGATTGGTTGTCTGATGTATAAAGTACAATATATCTTTTAATATTAAGTATAATTTTTTTAACAATGATGTTCTTTTAATTTTGTTTAGAATCTTTAGTTTCAAGTTTTTAGGGAATTAGAAATAAGATTTGATGCGAATAATTAAAATAAGGTTTGTTTGATTTAAAATAATGTTCAAATTATGTATATATTTACACTTTATGATTGCCTGATGTGGAAGATGCAAAAGTAACAAATATGTGGACATCGAATTCTAGGAAACTACCTAATAACGTGTGTTCTTAATGGCTTAGGGAAAAAGGTTTAATAAGTAAAAAAGATTAAATAATTAATTTAGAATGAACCATTAAGAATTAATTTAGAAGAAACAATTACAAATTACTAGAATAACAATATCCTGTAAACGGATACGTATCATCTTAATTCGAAACATGGCCAAAAGTATAATTTAAAAAGATTTGCGTTGTCGCAATAACCTGAAAGAAAAATAAATAGCTGAAAAGGAATGGATTGCCTAGAGTTAAAAAACACATGAGACAGATAAAACAAAAATACAGAAATTTGTAAACTCACCACATTTTATTTGTTAGACAGCACTCTTTTTTTTAAAAAAATTAAAAAACGTATAAATGCAAAACATCACTATCTACAGCCACACAGGCCACAAATTAAAAATTATAGAACAATTTTAGAGATGTAAATGGATTTGTCTCATGCTCAAAAAATCGTCATCAATTTCTTCTAAAAATCAGACTCCACGCCTCCCTGATGCACAGACGTACATCAGGGGGCCCACAAAGAAATCGAATGAATCTTCTCGAAAAAGGGGGAAAAGGAGTCCCTCACTCCCACGTTGCCATTACTTTTTGTTGAATACAGTTGCACTTCGGGAACTCAGCTGACAGGTGTCGCTGCGGGAAAAGTTCAACCTAATCCCATGGCGTTTCAAAAGCTGCTCCTCGAGATAATCTGCTCCTATAGGATCAGTCCATGCAATTTCTTCCTTGTACAAAGCAATACTTAAAGTCTTATATTTTTGCAACCTATGTCTTTTCTTAAAGACATTAAAATTGTTAAACAGTGTTTAACA